ATTTAGGACAGGTTTTAGCCAATAGAAAATAAATATTTGGACTAAAAAAATTACACGATAGTTGTCCAATTTGATAGCGATACCAAAATCGATTGAAATATCAAGTTTTGAAATGCAATGTATTGAGTCACAATCAGCAATGATGTTTGTGCTTTGGATACAGGAATTAATCAATTAAGTACTTTTCGAATTTTTTTTGTTATCGAAATTTATCGAGTTGTCGAGTAACGAAATTTATCACAGTGTTCGAAATGGATAGTGACATAAAATTTTACAGTTACCAGAACTTATTGAGTTATCGAAATTTATTTGGTGTTAAAAACGTGCCCCCTCATCGAAATTTAACTTCACCGAAATGTATGGAGATATAAGAATTTATGGAAATAGGTGTACTTATCACAATGCATTCACTTATCAAAATTAATCAAGCTACCGAAATACATTTCGTTTTCTTAATTCCTCCGGTTATCAAAGTTTATGTAATTGTTAAAAGTTTTAGTGAACGAAATTTATTTTGCAGGACTTTCTTCAAACATTTGAGAAAATTTTCGCTGGCGGCACGGTTTTCGTTAAATCTTTTTTGAAATTATCCAAGGTCATGTTATTTATGTCACCTAGTTTGCTTGGGATAAAGCCCCAAACTCTCTAATCCGATAGGTTTAAGTATAAAAAAGATTGGGGTAATTTTTCCGCTGATATAAAACCTGGGAAAAAATTTTCGAATTTATCGCTATACTCCTCGGGGAAAGAATCCTGTTGAAAACAAAATGTTTCATTTGCAGACATTTGTACTGCCTATAAGTACCGTCTTTAGACTATATTCTAACTTTTTTGACCTTTTTATCGAAAAGTTGAATTTGATTATTGACATTTTGCGAATCGCGCCCAACCCTATCGCGAGAGAAACTTTTTGGAACTATTTAATACTTTTCTTAGCTCTGCAGATATAGGACATTTAAGCTACGTAATTATCATTATCTTTGGGATTATGAAATAACTGTTACTGAAAAATAACCTCATTGAAAAGGATAATTTCTGCTTCTGTGTGCCTCGTTAGTAGCACTTTGCTTCTTTCCTTTCTCTTTTTGCATTGAGACAATGCTTTCAATTGGTGTTGTTGCTGCCGCCTCCCTTGTAAGCCTGTCTGCTTTTTCATTTCCCTCTACGCCTTTGTGGCCTGGGACCCATGAAGGAAGACCCTGTTGTTTGCTGCTTATCCATTTAGTCTTTCTACGCACTCAAGAACCAGTGCAGACTTGATTTCATAAGAATGAAGAGCCTTGAGTGCGGCTTGGCTATCACTTAGTATCCGGATATTTTCATAGCGATATTTTCTCTGGAGGTTAATATCTGCACACAGACTGATGACGTGAATCTTCGCTTGGAATATACCACGGAGTCTGCCTATAGGAGCTGCGATCTTTGATCTTGAACGGAAGATGCTAGCCTCATTTCTGGATGTCAGTGTCCGTCCAGCTTGCTTTTTTCACTAATTCTATTTTGAAGTTTTTTTCAAAGCTAATAACTCAGGCATCACTATGTCCTCCGCATATCGCCTGCATCGGATTCCATTGTCTGATAGCGTTTGCAGGAGCTAGGCTAGGGCTAGACTATCCTTCATTATACAGGGTGAGCCAAATAATATCTACCAATTTAACGCAGCAGGTCTATAGTTTGCCTAGCAGTGTGCGCAGTCGCTCCATCTTGCCGGAACCAAAAGTTAGGATGTTGCTCTGCCATTTGCTTGGAAATGCACTTCATCCGACATTAAAACACTACCTAAGAAATTAATTTGTGTGCCTAATAGCGTATTCCAGTCATTATTGGTGGTCTTGCTTTAAGTATCCATTATGATTTTCCAAGAGATTAACTATAACATGCAGAAAGAAAATAACACTAATCTTAAAAAAATAAAGAATTTATACATACATGCTTAGCATTGGTAGGTCTTATTTGGCCCACCCTGTATCTACTAGATGTGGGTTAACTAAGTCCTCTCCTCGTTATAGTAATCTCGGATAGATACCGTCCACACCTGTCCACTTGTACCGATCAAATGAGTCCAACGCCCACCCGACGCTGTTTCGCTAGAAGGGGTTTTTTGCAACGCCCCAGTCGGATTAGGTTGGTCTAAATGGTCGAACATACATTTCAATGATCGGTCGGATGTATCCGGAAAATGTGTGGAGAGTGGGATGCGTGCTCCTTAGTGCCAGTGTACGTGCCATCCGTTAGCTTGATTCCTAGTCAGAGCTGTGAAACTGTGAAATCATTTAAAATTTTAATCATGAAATATTTACAAGTAAGATTTCATTCTCCTTCCTTTGGTCTGGTAGTGTGGCTTTTATTTTTTTCAATCTACAATCATTCAAAAAAAAATTGATTTCACACAGTAAGGTGGTAAATACCTGAATGAAAAACTTAGAATGCTGAAGTAAACAGAATTCATTACTGAATTAGCTTCCAGATGAATGAACACTTTGCTATGTGTGCATTCTCTAATTCAGTTCCAATCAAATTTTATACACTAAGAAAAATATCTTATTACATTAAACGAGCAATTCTTGTATATACATATATATCCATAAGGTTCTCGGAAATGGCTCTAACGATTTTGATGAAATTTTGTACGCAGATAATGTATTGGATTTTAAGATTATCTGTATAGGCATAATCTCCGAGAAGACTCGTATAAGGTTGCCACCTATTCTAAATTAGTTACAATTAATTAAAAATTATAATATGGGTATCAAATGGAAGGTATTTTAAAGATCCCTAATTCAAAAATATTTTTAAGAGGGTTGCCACCTATTTTGAATCTCAAGTTTATTTAAAATTTTGTTTAGAAAAAAGGTAAAATATTAGTATTCATGGGTACCAAGAGAAGTTTCTTAAACAATGCTTTCCCTATATACAAAATGTTATCCCATAAGATAGGATAGGTTGCCACTTATTTTCGATTCTTCACAATTTATCTAAGACATCGCAATATGGATATCAAAAGAAAGGTATTGTTGAGAACTTTGGTCAGAAAATATTTTCGATCAAGGTTCTATGTAATACAAATTTGTATTTTGTTAATTTCAATCAGCATTTTTTGTAAGTATACACAGTACATATACGCTTAAGACTTGTACTATGGATTCCAACGTATTTCGGAATAGGGGTATATAATGTCCTTTTTTAAATACTATGTGCCCATTTTCCCGCGGCCACCCTTTATGATCAGTTCTTATTTGTAAAAAACGATATTTTCATTTCCCAATACCAGGCGCTTATGCATGTGAAGTAACAAGTTTTCTATTTCTACGTACAAAATTGTTTGTATAAATTTTTAAATTACCAAAATTCTACTTTGTAAAGTTCAAAGGCTTCTACAAAAAAAAAGTTAATTTAAAAGTTCTACAACCAAACTTATACGTATAGAAAGCTTGCTACTTCATATGTATGAGCGCCTGGTATTGAGAAATAAAAATATCTCTTTGTACAAATACAAATTTAGTTCGTTAAATAAAATTGACCGCAAGTTTCCTTCAAAAACATGCAGTTAGTTTTAAAAAGCATTGGCAGAATATCCAAAGCTGGTACGTACTTCTGGTCATAGGTAATGCTTTACCAAATTGTGGCAGTAGTAGAAAAGCAGAAATAAAACGACTATTTTCTCCTATAAAGATTTTCTTCTAGTTTCAAGGCATATTTTTTCAGTGTAGTACTGAATGATCAAAACTGTTTGCATTCAACCAAAATTTACAATCACGATGATTGCGAATACTTTTGTTACATTCATATTCTATACTGAATGGAACTCTGCCATTCAATAACACATTACGTTTGTTTTTGTTCCAAAATAATTTAAGCCACTCAGGAATGAGGTTTTTTTTTATACAACCAAACAATTGAAATTTTGAAATGAGTGCCAAGTGAATGCAGATCCTACTGATTCAATCATTTTACAGCTGTGTTCTAGTTGAGTTTCTATCCTGTCTTTTTCTAGGGCTTTATGCAGTCTCGCCGCTGCAGGAGTGGATATTATATTCCCGCAGAAGTTTCTAAAGCTTTTGCTCTTCGCTTTCATGATCTCTTTATTATATGTAGTTAGGCTCGAAGTACAGTCTCCTCAGCACCCGTTTTTTGTTTGGCAAAATTAAATTTCTTCTACTAACAAAATCATATTAATACATGTTCTTCAAATATAACGATGTTCGTTTAGATATTTTTTCCATTTGGGTATATAAACATCGGGTTGTGCATAAGCAAAAACATATGCACGTTTTATGCCAATTTGTGAGTAATGTTTCTGATTTGTGTGTTACTAGGTACGGCAATATATTCATGTGTAGGTAGTACTCGCATTTTCTAGCAACATTCAACCCGCAATTTGCATATTTTGCAAACGCTCAAAGCGCTTTCTACTATACCTAACATATGCGTCTTTGAAGCGCTCGTTTGAAAACTTTATGCGCAATTCAATTTGCCAGGTCGCGGTGCAGCGTCGGCAATACGTAACTAAAGCAGCTTGCTTTACGTTCTACAACTTTTCACAAGGTGAACCTTTGTTACTGTGTTAAACTTTTTCATTTATTTTTTTTCATTCTGACAATTTTTTTTCCACTTTTCTTATATCTATTGCAGCTGTCGCGTCAACCACAACATGGCGCGCAAATGTAAACATAAAAACACAAAATAACAATAAAAAATGCAGAGATTTGTTCATTGTAGATTGACTAAATATTTTTTTAACAACAACAAAAAAACTACTTACATCCACCAACATCCGCCACTTTTATGACTTTGTAACTACAAAAGCGTTGTAAATTCACGCTGTTGCGCCTAAATTTATGCAATATTTTCTGTATTTGTATGCCATTTTATTGTTGTACAAGAACACATCTACATACATACATTTATTTTATTTTTTTTTACCTGCCATGCTGTTTACAATTCTACACAAACTAACTTCCATTTCTTTTATTTTTCTCCCTCTCATTCTCCTTTGACAGGATTTACAATCGGAAATTGAAACGCATCGCGTCGTTTATGATCGTCTCGATGGCACCGGCCGCAAGCTGTTGGGTTCACTCACCTCGCAAGAGGATGCGGTGATGTTGCAGCGTCGACTGGATGAAATGAATCAGCGTTGGAATAATTTGAAGTCGAAGAGCATCGCCATCAGGTGAGTGAAAGCCTAAGTACATATTTGAGAGTGGGTGTTGTGGAAGGAAGGAAGGAAAGCAAGTAATTGTTGATGGCAGTGTGGGCGCGCGCTGCAATTGTATTTGATTTGTGTGCTCCTTTGTCTGGGAAAAGTACCAGAAGTGCTGCAAATATGAAGGAATTATGCAAAGAAATTGAATTAAAAGTCGAGTAGTTAGTGCCGCAGCGCTATGCTGTGTAGTGTGACAACGATGTCCTATTGCCGACCTATTGCGGTGGGGTCATAGTACGCGCTGCTTGATTACAATAGACATAGCACTTATGCTTCGTTATACTTACATATATTTGCCAGTAAATTATACATTGTTGGCAAGCATGCAATTGTTATCATGCACTGACGCCTTGCCTGTGGTGCAGTGAACTTTTTAAAGTGGAATTTTTGTTGCAGTTTAAGGAAGTTACACTAATTTGGAAAATTTGCCTTATTTGAAAGTTCTGAGGGCACCTGATGCCATCAGAAAATCTGATGGATCTTACACTATGTATGTCGTTGTTACTGTTAGGAATCCATTTTTTGAGTAGCAGGTTAATTTCTGTTGCTGGCAGAGATATGTGAGTGATTAGCGCGGCGGGAAAAGCCACCAAACTAAGCTGGAACATAGCATCAAGGGAAGTGACTTAGGAGTGTGCTGTGTCACCTGGCTCAGATTATGTGCATCCGAAGATGTTTAAGTATGGGGGTGACAGTTTTTAGGACTTCCTAATCATTTGGCCGAATTCCCACTGTTTACAGAAAAACCGAGATGATTACACGCTATCAAAAACGTTCAGGCCAAGCCGCCTGACATCCAATCTTAATGAAGAGCCTTGACCACACGGTCGAAAAAGCATGTCCTTCAGTGCAACCAAAGTGAAAAGTCCTGTGAATTAGCTCTGCGCAGAAGGAAGTGGCGCTGGAAGCAGGAGACTACACCCTGGTGGCCTGCGGCCAGGAGATATGGCGTGGACGAAGCAATCACAAATGGGACGCATTCCACTCTATCTAGAAAAGTGTTTGACTTTGGGCGGGATATATGGTCCTTATACCATTGAAGAGGCTAGAAGAAAATGTACTCAGGGCAAGGTTACTCTCACCCCTTGTGTGGCGTTCGATACTGAACTCAAAGGAGTCTGAATAAAATTGATGAATGGTGCACTTCGCAACCTCAACGAAGCAACCCTAATCAGTTTTTACGTAAAAAATAAAATTGAAACGTTTCAACCTTCCAACTTTTTGAGGCATAACCGAAGTCTTACCGCGGAAATTTTATACATAGGATAACTCGAGAAACAAAAGTGATATGAAAAATTTGCGTCAAGCTAAAGACAAATCCAAAACTTAAAGTTTTCGGTCCGTACCGGAGATCCGTTATGGTATTTTTGATGTAAACAGCGCTAGTCAGAACGATCGTCACGTACTCTTCTGTAGTATGTTGGCGTAGAATCATTTACAAAACCTTGCTTTCTACATTAAGTACTTATGATTTGGTACACACCGGGCACAGAGAGTAGTTTACGGGGTTGTCAGAGAAATATCCTTTGTGTTCGGCTCTTGAGGACAATCTGATACCCAGAGACTCTTTTGGAAGAAATTAAATCGTTACATTTTTCTAAAAGGCATCAATAGAAATATCCAGGCACTATCTTCGGGAGCTCGCTGACAAATTTCTATATCAACTGCACCTAGACTGAAAATGGAACCGAAGCTGAATGGCTTAAACATATAAGGTAACCAGACACTTTATTCCAAGTCTACAATTGAAGCTAAACTCTGCATGCTTTTGCATGCATATGCGGTGCATGGACAAGGACCGCAAAGGAGTCACTAGAGGCTCTCATAAATACACACTTTCCTGGTTGCGATCAGAGACCAAAAACATGGCCTCATACAAACTGTCAGCAATTCTCAAAAGAGTTACTCGACTCATTCATAGGCAAAGGGAAAATCAAATTTGCTTTAAATAAATTCTGCTCATACAAGTCCCCTGGTCCGGACCCCCCGTCCTGGCTGGAAAGGGTCTCCAAAGCCAGGATCACCTTGACATACATTCAAAGAGTCAGCCTGCAGGGGGTTAAACTACGTGTCATTGAGTGGTAAACCACGGGGGTGTTTTAGTATGGTGTATATGTATGTATAATATGGCGTCTATGCCACTGAATGACACGTAGTTTATCCCCCAAACCCCGCCCCCCGCTGGATCCACCACTGATAACGGGACATTGGCCGATTGGCGAACATGCAGCTAACATGAGCATTCCATAAAAGCCTCGGCGCGTAACCCACCATTCTAATCTAAATAGATTCCTCGGAAAATTCAAGTGGTTTTACGAACCCAACGAATCATGAAAGTAGTTAAAATCAAGGGTCCCAGAGAAAGCGTATCAAAATGGTGCTATCAGCACTAATTTGGTCCTGGGAATATACCCAGGCGACGCTTCTACCAAACAACCAATTTCAAAGCTTTGTCCTTTGAGTTCAAGGATATTTTCACCGAAGCATCATCATCTCGGAATCAGGGTACCACGCAACTAGGGCCATAGATCTTACAAAGAATATTTCCCTCGAATACCCTCAACGTCTTCTCATCTAAATTACTTGCTGGCAAGAATTATTCATAAGCTGATCTCAGAGCTGAAGTTATGGATAATGTTCATAATCGATCCTGACTACAGTAAACCCTTAACAAATTAGTATTACTTTGTGTGTTATCAAACTCAAGAAGTCAAAGATAGCCGGTGTAGATGCAAGAATGATTGATAAAAAATCTGAAGACTCTTGACCTTTCGTTATAAAATGAATTTACGCGGACGTGGTATCAAAGTTAACTTATATTCTTCACCTCTTGCATTTGCGATGTCCTTAACATTAACCGACTATTTTCGCTTGTTAGCTGACTTCTAGTGGTACGTTTAGTGTACTTCAGAATATCAATTTCGACCATCCCTATAGCTACATAAATACATACTTACATTCATGATCTCAATTTGCCTTGGCATTAATGACTAGCATTTTAGCTATTTGACAGCTAGTCAGTCTGTCAGTCTGTCATTCAGTCATGGATTGGTGGCAGCCAGCTTAACTTTTGGTATCGGACCAACAGTTTGGCCAAGTCACTCAACCAGCAGTCACTTACTTGACACATGACAATCAGCAATCTGTAATGAACATCAACGCTCTTATCATCATTCTCATCATCATCATCATCATCACCACCACCATATATCGCTAAATCGCCACTGCTGTTGCAGCATTATCACATAATGCATATAAATGCCAATTATGCATGCGGCAAGCGTCGCTGAGTTTCATACACATATACACATACTTATGTGCATACGTATCTATGTATTTGCAACGGCCACTTCAAAGCGCTCAAGAAATTACTTTCATTAGTTAGCCAAGCGTTTTGATGGCCTTTTTTTGTGATCATATCTTTGCTAACATGATTTTTAGTGTTTTCTTCTTATCATCAAATTCGGACATGAAAATTAATGACCTGCGTGCCAATTTTTCTGTCAAAATAGCACTTGGCTCAAAGTCGTAGGCGGTATTTTTTGTCTGGAAATGGGGAAGCAACAAATTTGATTAGTTTTGACATTTGTTACTCTTACAAGTTACGCCCTTAAAAATTAAAGGTTTGATTTAGATTAGACAGCTAAAAAGAAAGAGTACTAAAATGTTGGCCCAAAGAAATGTGAAACTACTAACTTGCCTAACTATTTAGCACTCTTTTTTTTAAACTTTAAAATTGTAAAAATTATTTTTGAAATAAATAAATTTTTTTTTGTTAAAATTTTTTTTACAACTTTCAGTAGTTTTTAGTACTTAATCATGAAACCCAAATTTTTTAAATGTATTTCTTAGATATCTAAAAAATTTAGTTCTCTCCATTAAGTACTAAACACTACGGAAATGTTGTCTAAAATTTTTAACAACAATTTTGTACAAAACGCTTTAGTACTGCCCTATTGCCCTAAATTTAATGTTAAATGTATTAAAATTAAACAAAATTATTAAATACTACTTCGTAAAAATAAGACATTTTGACTAAAAAGTATTTGCACTAAACTTTGTGTTAAAACGGTTTTGTACTAAACATTTTCTCAAAGGTTCTCAGTAAACGTTGGACTATAAAATTTTTGTATCTACTTAACTTTGCATTAAAAAGTTTTTGTAATTATTGTTTTACTAAAAGTTTTTGTTCTAAACGTTGTTCTGAAAAACTCTGATACTAAACTTTGTACCAAAAGTATTTGTATTAAATTTGCACTAAACAGCTGCTGTACAAAATTTTTAAGTAAAATATTTTTTGTAGTGTATTTTTGTTTAAATTAGTTTTTTTTATAGCTTTAATTTAAATTAAAAACGATTTTTTTTAGATACTACTTGTTACGAATTTTAAAATAAACAAGTAAGAAAGTCTAAGTTAAATACCCGGCGCAAGTATTAAATATATGTTTTTTCACCTTTCCGAAAGCTACCGCTAGATGGTATGCTGGGGTGTATCAATTTTGAGTAAATTAGCGTCCTTAAATTTCGAAATATTGCAGTTTCAAGCATTTTTGAAATTCACCGTTAAATGAAAAGCGCCCGTAATTTTAGTCCGATTTCAATAATTTTCAACGTTTTGCTTTTATGTGGCAAGGACAATAAAAATACCGAGTTTGGTAAAAATTGGTAGAATGGCTACCGATATACATATATGTGATCATAAGTGGGCGGTGCCACGCCCATTTTCCAAAATTTTACCATAAACGTATTTCTTGGTAAAGAATTGTTGCAAGCATCAATTTTGAATAAATTAGCTTTAATATTTACTGATTTATCGAGGATTTCGTATTTCTCGAAATTACCGTTATATGGGATGTGGGCGTGGTTATTGCCCGTAGTAGTGAAAGTGGTCACTGGTGACATCGTCACTAATGAGGATTTGGTGACATCGTCGCTCTTGCTGTGAATTCTAGGCGACATATAGCTGA